CAGCCCAGAGCCTGACGCGGGGCTCGAACTCACGGACCGCGAGATCGTGACCTGGCTGAAGTCGGACGCTTAACCGACTACGCCACCCAGGCGCCCCTACTCCTACCTCTTTAAAGAACAAGGGAAAGGAAAACCCTTTGAGTTTCCATATCAAAATACAACTGGACGAGGGGCCCCTGTGTGGCTCAGTTGTGGAACGTGCATCTCTTGATCTCGGGGCTGTGAGTTCAAGCCCCACACTGGGTGTGGAGATTACTTAAAAATAAAATCTTTAAAAACCAAAACCAAAACCAAACTGCAGCTGGATGTATAAATATTTCTGGATGAGCTGACCTTTTTGTTATCAATTTACCTGGTTTAACTCTCCCAGGCTCCCAGATACCTCACCGTCTACCCGCAATTACTGCCTTGCTTAAAACATGTACCACACAAAGTGGGTGATGGGCATCGAGGAGGGCACCTGTTGGGATGAGCACTGGATGCTGTATCGAAACCAATTTGACAATAAATTTCACATTCAAAAAAAAAAAAAAAAAAAAAAAAAAAAAAAAAAAAAACCGTGCCACACAAAACTTCCTTATCTTACCTCTTCTGCCCCCGTTTTGTCCCCACCTCATACCAAACTCACCGACCTTTTGGCCGTTCCCTGCCCATGCTGAGCTGTTTCGAGTTTCTCTACCTTTGTACCTTCTGTTTCCTTTGACTGACATGTTTTTCCCCTTCTCTGCCCAGAGAACGCATTCTTCCCGCAAGGTCAGTCTCATGTCTGTTTCTGGGGAAATCTTCCTGGGCAGGTCCATGTTGGGAAGGATTCTCCTCCAGGTTCACGAGGCAAGCATCTCCCCTCCCTGGAACCTTCGGTCTCTCCTTGTTCCTCTCAGCACCTGACTGCCCAGGTGACGGTGGCCTCTTGCACATCACCTGGCAGAGAATGGAGGTGGCTTTGCTCTCTGCCTCTGCAACATTTTGGAGGAAGGTTTCCTGGAATTGAGGGCTATGGGTTGCCAAGGTAACTCCACAGCCAGTGTTCCAAGTCCCCTGACCTCTGACCTGGCCCGTCAGTCCTGCTCAAAGGGGAGACAGGGGGATCTCTGTTACACTGTGTACCTGCTCCCTGCCCCCACTTCTGACTGGTTGCACACCCTGTGTACCCCACCTCCAGTGATTTAGGGTGCTTGGAGCCTCCACAATGTTGATCCGGTTCAGCCCTTCACCACCCCCAGCTCCTCCCAGGTGTTTTATGTTCTCAGCATTACTCCCATGCCTGCCCATAGGGTTCTGGTTGATAGCTGGTGGGGAGCAGGAGAGAGTGATGAGAAGCAGAGCCTGGAGGGAAGAGGGGAATCTGGCTGGAGCAGTCTGGGCAGGTGAATTTCCATTGCAGCCTTATAGCCAGGAGAAGGGTTCCATCTGGAGGGTGGAGGGAGAGCCCAAGGACAGTCCCTTTCTGTCCCCTTTACTTCCTCTTGCTTCTACCTGTGTTATCTCCAAAACCTACCCTTCCCCCCACTTGGTCCCCCAGCCTTGACCCTAAGTGTTTGATTTGGAACAAGGGGACAGAGGCTTACATGGGCCACTTAAAGTCCAGGTTCCTACCTCAGCCCCACCTCCCAAGCTTGGCCTGACCTCTGGCCCCCTCCAGTTTCACCCCCACCCCCACCCAC